TTGAGTTTTCTCAATTCAAACCGACATATGTTAACAGATAATTTAATTTTAGTCATAACCAAAACGGGTTACGGGTCAAAACTGTCGATCCCGAGTTGAGAGTTGGAGGGCCCTGAACCAACGCGGACATATTCACGGGCCGGTTCATTGATTTGTCGGTTTTTGGTCGCCCGGTTCATTAAAAAAATAAAAAACAATTAAAAATGATATATTTTTTTTTTAAAAAAAAAGTCGAACCTCTGGTTCCAGTTTAGAACGAAACTGTCGGTTCAAAATATATAAATTATAAAGTATTATACATAAACTGGGCTGGTCAAAACCACGGGCCGATTCAAGACCCATGGTCAACGGGCCGAGTTGTGTCGGTTCAGGCCGAACCGATAGGCTGGGTCGACCCAATGACCATGTATACTCGGTTCCAATAATAGCTACAATAATATTGCAGCTCCGGGTTAAAAAAAAAAAAAATCTGGCTACGCCCTTGGTTGAGTTCACATCCACTCCTCGAGGAATGATGATAGCAAGCATAGATCGTGACATCTGATTTTTCACATGGCATCTGAAATTTTAGTGTTTTACATTTTTCGATTTTAACAGGGCCGGCCCTGGGGCAGGGCCAGCGGGGCGACCGCCCAGGGCCCACCCAGTGCCCATAAATTTTTGGGGCACCAAAGTGATTATTCTTATGGTTATTATGTTTGGGGCTTAAAATAAAAATGAGACCTTAAATACCGTATGAATAATCACTACACATGGTTATTATGTTTAGGCTTTTTATTTTAGTATTTTACTAATAACTTTAAGTTATGTTAATTAGTATTTTACAATTTTGTTATGGGCTTGTATAGGTATGAGGTTTGTACATGAATTGTCTAGCCTAGTCCGCTAAAAACTTGCTTCAAACAGTTGTATCCAACTTTTATATTAGTTTTTTATTGTCAAATTTATTTATCAGTTGACTTATTAAATTATGTGTTGAGTGTTGACAAATATATAAGTTGTTTAATTTTAATTGTGTTATTCTCTTTTTCCCCAAATTTGCCACATTTTTTCTCTTATAATGTATTATTCTATTTACAATGTCTAATAAAAAGGAATAACAAATTCCTATTATGAGTTACTTACATACATTTAATTATTAGTTATTATTAGTAATTAAATTATTTTTCTCTTACATTTATTATAATTGTTATATTTTCATTATATATATGATGGAGATAAGGTAATTATTATTATTATTATTATTATTATTATTATTATTATTATTATTATTATTATTATTATTATTATTACTATTATTAGCATTTAATATTTATTTATATTTAATGACTTGGTGGACAAGATAGATTTTAGGATTAGGATGTCTTATTTAAAGACCTCTCTTATTTTGTTATTCGGGGAGTT